GCAGTGTTGGTATGCAGTAAGTGGAGCAGGGAAAAACGCCTTTGATCGTTGTTATTGACCATTCCTTATTACAGCTGTATGCTGCATAAACATATTCAAACTCACTTGCATGAGCACGTACACAGAAGCACATACTGTAAAGATACAGTACAAACACACATGCCAGACACACAGGTCAGTGGTATCTGCAGTGGTATGCATGCACAGAAATGCCCTCAGATTACAAGGACATGCACACACAGGCCTGCAGCATGTGAGACAATCAGTTGTTTGTTGGTAGTGTGAATGAGCTGGAGCTGAAGAAAGAAAGAAATGAAATCTAACCAAGAATGTAATCAATTACAGTGGCCATGAACATTTTTTATAGTTTATATTTACATTTTATTAATGTCAACTTTTCTAAAAAGCAAAAACACATGATATTTTAAATTTTAGCAGTCTAAGCATCTTTTCCTTTAGCAGTTTTTCTACTAGCAACACAATTTCCTGAGGTCAGGAAATAGTAGTGGTAAAATAATCTCAGTTCAAACGTTTGACTATGACATATAAAACTGGCCAGCAACTATTGCCCCCAGGGGCCAAATCTGGCCCACCAAGAACAGGATCTGGCCCTTAATAACGGTTTTCCTTTTTTCTTTTTAGTTATAAATACTGTTATTTCATGCTGTGTATAAAAATGGCTTATGCATTTCCCAATAAATATAAGATAACATCTTAGCATACAATGGTATGATAAAAGCCCACCTTAAAGAGAAATGTAAAATTGAAGCTACTTTATCCAGTGTTGCCAGATTTGAATTACAGTACGTCATCAGTGTGAGCTAGCATACTATAACTTCAGTCCTGTTTTTTTAGCTGGCATATTAGCATACATGTATCCTAAATTTGATATCAGCAGTTCCTGTTTGCAATTTACCCTTGGATGTGCTGCAACTATTTCTGAAATACTCAGATCCTAAAGAAACATGAATAATAAAGTTCCCAGAAAGCATAAGTGACAGTCAATGTAAAAATATATGTATTATGTCTGTGGTCAGATTTGACTGAATTATGACTGCATTTTGACACAAACTGCTGCAGTCAGTGCTATGGGTTTTACAGCTACTTAACTGCCTTCATGAGATACTGTATGTGTGACTTCCACTGCTGCCACTGCAGTTAGTGCTGAAAAGCAGCTAAAGTGCAATATCTGACTTCCCCCTTTTTTTTAGAACACGTACATTCACCTGTCCTTTCACCTCACACACCATCTTTGCCTCCTCTACAAGTCTCCCATGCCTTCCTTACAGTGTAAATCTCTGGAATATTTTTATAAGCTAAAACTGCAGCTTTGAAAGTTTTTGTACAAAATGGTACATGAGCAGAACAAAATTATAGCTCAACATAATGAATGTTTAAATGTCAAATTAAAGAAAGTTAAATCAGTGTAGGATTATCTTAAATACCAGCCCCTGATGTACAGTACTTGTACAGTGTAAGCAAAATCCAGAATCCTAAATGCCTTTATTGTTGGTTACTTCTGGGGATTGGACAGTGATCTTTCAAACTATTGCCTAGACACTGTTCAGGATATTTTGTCAGCGGAAAATTTCAGAACATAGTAACTGGAGTTTGACATGTTGAACAATGTACATTTTGATCTCTTACTAAGAGTTAGATGACAAGATTGATGCCAGTGTCATAGCAGTTTGTAGTTGTAAAGCTGGAGCCAGGAGAAAGTTAACCATAAGAAAACTGTCTCCTGGCTCCAGCTTTAGCTTACAAACAAGTACTATTAATCTTCTCATCTAGCTTTCCACAATGTCTAAAATGTCAGCCTGTTCATTTAAATCACATTACACAGTTGTAATAAGTTCAATAAGTGTGAGATGCAGGACCTCCAGACTGAAAAACTCTTTCTTTCCCTCTGCCCTCAGACTCCTAAACAGCTGAGGAGTTTATTACCAGGAAATACGTCATGTACTGTTTACATTCTCAGTTTGCACATTGACTGTTGACTGCTGCACATGCTGTTCCCATGCAGCATACATTCTCTTATTATATTCTTATATATTTTTATTATACTGCTGCATTTGCTGCTTAAAGTGCCTTAGATTTTGTGTTACTTATGCTGCTCCCATGCAGCATACATTCTCTGTTATAATTCTTATATATTTTTATTATATTGCTGCATTTGCTGCTTAAAGTGCCTTAGATTTTGTGTTACTTATTTATCTACTTTATATTTCATTTGTATTTTGTGGCATTCATGTGGACAGCAAAGTAAGAATTTCATTGTACAGGGAAACACGTTTCCTAACTGTGCATATGACAAATAACCACTTTGACCTTTGACCCTTTGACCTAATAATAACATTTTTAATCTTCCCCCATCAAGCATACATGTAATATCCTCTAAGTGAGAAGTTCAGTAATAATCCAGAGTGTCTCTTGCTGGTAGACAAGAGACAAGCACACAATTACTCTCACTTGTAAACACATGTGAGGGTGTGTACAGTATGTGTCTGTTTTAACGTGCACTTAAAACACAGACATACTCCCTACTCCCAACCCTGGCCTTTTGTTACCTTGACAGGCAGCCTGCTGTAATGAAAGCTCCTCTCATTCATAAGCCTGCCTTGTCAACTTTTAAAGACAGGCAACATTCAGTGGGATAGAAGGGAAAGGAGACAAAAAAGAGGAGAGAGGAAAGACAGCCACTGTTTCCTTTTGCTTTGATATGTGTCTTCTCTGAAGGGTTTCTTTCCGTGAAAGTGATCCACAACCAGTAAAATTCAGATTTAGATAATATTTGATAGATTGTCTCTGTGGTTCAATGATTAAGGATTGCAGACTCACACAAATGGGTGTGTACTACATCTCCTCTCCCCGTCATTTTACCATTAGTTGACTGTCACACATGGGAGCATTTTGACCACAAACTGAAAAAATACCCTTCATGATGTCAAATCCATGGGCTCTCATTTCTAAGTGGGTCAACACTTACTCACAATAGCATCTTCAGTACTCTCCTCTGTGTAGTCCTCCCTCTCCTTCTATGTTTTTGACCCCCATTTCTCTCTGTCCTCTCTATCATCCCTTTTTATTGCACCATTACTATAAACATGTTGGAAGTAGTTCACTCCATACCATTTGCAACAGTAAGAAACTCAAAGATCTTTGTTTTGTTTTTATCTCATTTTCTGCTGAAAGCATTTTATTGTCTCTAAAGTGTGGACAATCAGATTTCTTGTGATATTCAAAACATAAATGTAGATGTTGGACAAATGTAAATCACTTTTACACCTCTGTCAGTTATTTTAGCAGGCGCTGTGCACATGCCTGTACAAGCAAGCTTAATGTGTGTTGAACTGTCACAACAGGACTAAATGAGAGTAATTCAGCTCATCATAATGTCTGCATTATATCTGCCAGTATTGCCAGAATCCCCCACTGTACGATAGCCCCATTTGATCCACATCTCAGATAAGCTTTTCAATCACCAGTGACATGAAATACCCTGGCAGCACAAGCCATTCCTCGTAAGCACTGACTACCTCTCTTTACTTCCATCTGTTCACACAAATTAGCATAACACTAGCATGATATTAGCACGCCTGACCTGCGCAGACATGCCTTATCAAAGTGCTCTGTGATCCCTGGCTCCCTGCACTTTAGTCTGGAGCTGAGAAAGAGAGAGAAACAGAGATGGAGAGAGACAGAGTTACCCCGAGAGAGAGAGAGAGAGAGAGAGGGAGAGAAGAGAGTGATGAGCTACTTAATAACGAGCTGTGTTACACTGCTGCACAACACACAGCCTTGTCACAGCGTCACAGAGCTCTTCTAAGCTAAATGGGCTGCAGCAGATGTTTGGTGACAACAATCACACAGCGCTGCCTACCTCACTTGACTTGCAAATATTTGCTAAGTGACTTCAATATTTAATTTTCTGTATTTTCTTCCTTAAGAATGTGTAAGGTAGTGATTCAAGTGCATAAGAATGAACACACACACACACACACACAGTTATTTCTTCTCTTAGCATATAACTATAGAATATGATTTGCTGTAAAATACTTGCCATCTTCTGAGTTGAATGTATTTTATTTTATTTCATTTAAGTATTTTATTTTTTTTATTTGTTCTATTCATGTATCATATACACTACTTGAGACACCACCACTTAACAGTTTGGCTAGTTAAGCTGTGGGTAGTCAGTGGGTATTATAGAATTATGAGGAAATAATGGGTCATGCACTTTACTGAGACGAGGGACTTAATACTGTATGTTTGATTTATCTTTTTACTTCTAGTGTCTCGGTTTCTCATCACATCCATGGGAGCCCTGTATATCCTGGATGTGCAAATGGAAGACGGGCTGTACAACTACAGGTGTATGACACGTCACCGGTACACAGGAGAGACCCGACAGAGCAATAGTGCCCGCCTCATTGTTTCAGGTACGCCAAAATATATGTACAGTGTTATATTAGGACCTTTGTGGGCTTACAGTATATTAGGTATCATATCACATACTATCATATAGCTATATCTCTTAGTTTATGAAACAAGAGCTCTTTACATTATATGATGCAATGCAAGTAAACAAATTCAGATAAATCATCAAAGGACACTAACTTGCTCTACAATTTCTGTCTTCAAAATAAATATAAATACATAATATGTGCAGAACATTGTTCCCTTTTTGGGGAGTGACAAGAAAAAACACAAATTAAAGAGAGAATGACATGTGATAAAGGTCATCAGAACTGTACCAACACAGTCTGGAGGGCAGGTTTCAGAACAAATGATGCCCTCCTTTAGCCTTACCATTTATTCTTTAAGGGACACTTTATTCTTAAAGGGACACACATGAAGTTCAGTTTACATGAAGTACTTCTTAACCTGTGAATACAGATGTAAGGTCCTCTGTGATATATGGCTTTTACAGTGGGTGGGGGGTGGCAATCACCAAACATTTCTCTCATAGATATATATATATATAAATCTGAACAGAGGTAATGGCATCTCATCGAGTGGAGTTGCCTTGCAAAGCCTCTGGGCACCCTGCACCCAAATACCGCTGGCTAAAGGACAACCGGCCACTGGAGCCCGACACACGCTTCAGGCAGAGTGTGACAGGCCTGCTGATAGAGAAAGCCCAGCCCAGTGACACGGGGACGTATGTGTGTGAGGTGTGGAATGGCTATGGCAATGCTGAGGTGGTTGGCAGGCTGCTGGTAAAAGGTCAGTGCCCATTGGCTGGTGGTAAGACATTAGGATTGATTTGCATGATGCCTTAAAACAGGTGAAAGCAGAGCAGGTACAGAATCACTTCAGGTTTTTAAGGTGCTACAGTGGGCATATTTAACATTATACTGGAAACATAATTATATTTTCTTACTAAAACTTATGAAAGCAAATAAGACCAAATATTGCAATTTTCTGATACTGAACACTTAGCTCCTTAACCTACAGAGCCCCTGAAGGTTGTGGTGAGCCCACGGAAAGTGAAGGGCAGCGTGGGAAGCCAGGTTTCACTCTCCTGCAGCGTTACCGGCTCCGAGGAGTACCAGTTGTCCTGGTACCGCAATGGAGAGCTCATCTACCCAAGTAACAGTGTCCGCATGACAGGTCAGAACAGGGAGAACCTGGTCATGGCTGGTATGGCCAAGAGTGATGGAGGAGCCTATCAGTGTTTTGCCAGACATGGCAAGATGTCGGCCCAGGACTTTGTTCAAGTCATACTGGAAGGTCAGAATTCACAGTGATCTAAGTATAGATATGTGGGTGGTGGAATCATAAAGCATTTTATATAGATAAGTAATAGAAATAACATGTATTCTCTCTTTGTTTTGTGTGTACTGGTGATTGTATGTGCATATGAATGCAAACTGTGTCTGTATGGTCATGCTCTCATATAGACTGTGTATGTAGTATTGAGTACTGCAGTGCAGCTGAGACCCAGCCCATTGCACTAGATTTTCTGAAAGAGGCTTGCATACTGTTACATGAACTGAGGTTGCTGCAGTAGCTTTCTCCCGTGACCACACCAATATAAGGAGAATATTGATAATCAGTGTTGCTGTGGAGCCAGGGAAAGGAGCTGTATTAATCTGTTTTATGGTCTGGGTCAGTTCATGCATATGTTACAGTGAAAAGGCAAATTGGTCTGAATACAGTATGCTTTTGTATTGTATCTTTAAAGAGCACATTCAGTGTAAAATAATAAAATGTATCTTGCCATGTGAATCTCCATCCACTGTCCAGATGGCACACCCAAGATTCTGGCTTCATTCAGTGAGAAGGTCTACAACATCAACGAGTTTGTGTCACTGTCATGCACGGTAAAGGGCACGCCGGAGCCCCGGGTAATGTGGACTCTGGATGACGAGCCCGTGGTACGGGACAGCCGCCACCGTATCTCCCACTACACCAATGCTGAAGGGCATGTGGTCAGCCACCTCAATATTAGCCAGACCCAGGTGCCCGATGGAGGGGTGTATCGCTGCATCTGCAACAACTCAGCTGGGACAGTTTCCTACCAGGCGCGAATAAACGTAAGAGGTGCTTGTCAGATCAACTCTTCCAACACACCATCACATATACACATCAGCATGTCTTGATTCATTCTCCTTTCATTTTTAATCGGCTACTTTTGATGTGCTTGGATGTGCAGATGTTGAATGAATGCGCTGCAAGCAGATGCGCTGCTAGCTTCTCTTCCACATTGGAAAACCTAATGGTGCCATTTTATTCTGTTTCTTCTTGCTCACATTAAGACAGGTACATCTACAGCCTCCTGTAGTAGCATATCTGATCATTAATCACTGGTTTTAGCATTATGTTTCCTAATGCCCTGCTCCCTACCCAACACCTGTTGATCACTTTATATTGGGACACTATTAGGATGACCTACTGTTAGTATCAGTGAATGACTGTCTTGCTCTCTGCTCTCTGCAGGGACATGGTTGGCTGGATTGCTGTTGTCATATAGTGGTACTACTGGGGCATTCAAGCTTTCTGTGTTTGGTGCAAAGCCATTAGTATTCCTTCATTGCAGAGTGGGAAGGTTATTTTCTGTACACTGATTGGTTTAATTTACTTGTGCGCATTCTTGCATCTAGTGAGGCTAAACAGAGCAATCCTCTACCCCTTGAGCGAGGGTCCATGGATGCTGAGTGCAGCCAAGCAATGAATATAAATCTCCACAGGTGCCATTGCAGAGAAAGTGTAATGACCGTTTCTCACGTCATTGGCTCCTTAATCGTGCTAAAGAGAGTAGCATCCCAGGATATGCTTGTGCTCAAATACACTACAGAGCCAAGCTAAACTGCCTTGTCTGGTGGTTTAAAAAGAAGCCTAATAGTCCATTTACCTGATAAACACTGAGCTGTGGAAACCTGTTGGCTATTCTGTTGGTTTTCTCAAGTGTGTGTAAAAGCTGACAATATGAGTAATGGCTTTGATAATAGCATCACACAGTATACATGAGTCCCTGGTTCTGACAAGGCAAAATGCAAATTTGATATGAAAGCAAAGTGGTCATGATTGTGAGTTCCTTTTAGAATTGCCTGGAAACCTTAATCAGGTGGTCTGAAACACATAAATAAATCTTGGCAATGTTTTATTTGTTGCTATCAGAATGAATCAAGGCCTGTAAATTTTGTGGTGTCTTGAAAACACACAACACAGCACAGCTATCGTTTATAACAACCCCCCTGCCTCAAAATCATTTTAAGAGAGTTGTCTCTCCAATGCGTACTTCAAGGGCCTGCCAGCATCAGACCAATGAAAAACCTCACTGCCATCGCTGGGTGGGACATGTACATCCACTGCCGTGTCATTGGTTACCCATACTACTCCATCAAGTGGTACAAAGACTCCAATTTGCTGCCGTACAACCACCGACAGCGGGCCTTCGAGAACAATGGCACCCTGAAACTGTTTGATGTGCAGAAGGATGTGGATGAAGGAGAATATACATGCAATGTGCTGGTGCAACCTCAGCTCTCCACACACCAGAGTGTCTATGTTACTGTGAAAGGTATGAACCTCAAACTGATCTCTCTTCATTTACAGCACATGACTCAACACTGGATAGTGAGCCTGGGCTTTATGTTTAGAAAAACAGCATGCGATTTAGTTGCTGTAGCTGTGTGCGATCATGGGTACTCTGTCATGATAATTACCAATGTGAAGTGTCAAATAAGCACCTTAGCCCATTTATTCAAGGTGGGGTGTGCCACACAGTATTATACCCCAGTATTTGTTGAGTGCATCTATAGGTAGCTCAGTCTGTGGATACTAAGACAGATGGTAAATGGTCTTATATTTGTATAGCGCCTTTCTATGATTTACAGCACACTCAAAGCGCTTTCACACTATTTGGCCATTCACCCATTCACACTCCCAAACATTCACACACCAGTGACATCACCGGGAGCAACTGGGGGTTCAGTGTCTTGCTCAAGGACACCTCGACATGTTGACTGGACAAGCTGGGAATCGAACCGCTAATCCTCCGGTTAGGAAACGACCCGCTCTACCTCCTGAGCCACAGCCGCCCCAGATTCATTTTATCAGTGTGCACATTGACCCTGATGTGTCTTTCCATTTGGCATACATGCTGTATATCACATCTAAAACACATTACTTTAAAGTATCACCTTAGTATCTACATTTTCTTGATGCAAAAAGCACAGATATGCAGAAGGATATTTGTATATCACACAGTCTTCAAAAAAACACTGACATCACAGATAGCAAAGCAACATCTCCATCATCCTGGCCACTTTATCTGGAGCTCATCTGAATATGCAGCAGTACTGAGCTGAGCCTGATGATGATAACCTCAGATGACTCTCTTTCTTCAATGACGCTGCATAATTTGAAATGTCGGATGGGCAAATGCCCCACCCCAACTCCCACTCCCACCTCTCTCTCTCTCTGGCAGGTCTTGACATGCTAACAAGTGTGCGAGGGGGAAATCACACAGCATAGACAAAGCCATGCCACCATTCTGCCTCAGCTAATTTGCCTCTCAGCTGCTTAGCATTTCACTGCTGCCTAGAGGGAATCCCCAGGAGCCTATTATGCCTATTTTGTTGTGAATTAAATAAGCGCTGAAGTGCTGCTTATTCCAGTGTTATTTTAAATCATTAATTTTCCAGAGAATCTGGTTCTCATGATGACTACACTCTCCCCAGAGAGCAAGAGTGAGAGAGAATGTTATATGCATGTTGTTTGAGAGAGAATTCAGCTGCTCTGCACAGGGAGAGGCAATAAAATATTTCTCTCATTCCTGCAAAATCACTGTATAATGCTTCAATATGGAAAACAAGGTGATAAAGAGAGAAATGTAAGCAATGAGTTTCAGTAAGATTGCTTTATGAAGTACTACCTCAGCCATGACAAAATCATAGTCATTAACTTTTCTGTTTATACATACTGTACATGAATGGTGACTGATTTTGAACAATGTTTGCTGAAGTTAATCTGAAATTATAAGCATTTAACACACAGGCCTGAGGTAAAACTCCAGAGGGGAGAAATTAATTTTCATATTCTTCCGTAGTCCCACCTACCATCCACCCTTTTGAGTTCCCTCGGTTTTCCATTGGCCAGAGAGTTTTTGTCCCCTGTGTGGTCATGTCTGGTGACCAACCCGTCTTCATCACCTGGCAAAAAGACGGTCGGCCAATTCCAGCCAGCTTGGGTGTCACCATAGACAACATAGACTTTACCAGCTCTCTGCGCATCTCCAATCTCACATTGATGCACAACGGTAACTACACTTGCATTGCACGCAACCAGGCTGCCGCCGTGGAGCACCAGAGTCAGCTGATTGTCCGAGGTGAGGAAGGGTGAAGACAGATTTCACAGAAGCAGAAGATCCAAGCAGAGATGCTTGTCTTTTGTTATTTGTTACTGAATGTAATTGTTTTAAGGGGAAAAATGAAAAAAATGCTGTTAAGATATTAGTGATTTTCCAAGTCAGATCTATACATGATTAGAAGTTCGTCGAAGTCAGATCTATACATGATTAGAAGTTGTTTGTCAAGCTATTATTGGTTCTTGCTTTGCATAGGATTTTTGTCTCTGGAAGCAATAATACAACTGCTGAATCTAATGATTACTTGTCTTGCAGTTCCCCCCAAATTTGTGGTACAACCTAAGGATCAGGATGGCATTTATGGAAAGGCAGTGATACTAAACTGCTCAGCAGAAGGCTATCCTGTTCCTACCATTCAGTGGGAGTACTCTAAAGGTAAACTCACAGCATGACCCTTACATGAATATGTATGCCACTTGCATGCACTTGTTAAGTACATACTGTACTAACACTACTGGGAAGTATCATGTTTCTTTAGAACATTTTGCAGTAATGTCATTACCTTTTTCAGTAATGAGTAGTGTAATTCAATAGAAATTCAATAATTACAGTTACTAATTCTAGCTACATTCCATTACTTTGACATTTTTGTGGGATTGTTCGTTACCTTACTGGGAGTTAATGCTAGATGGTGGGACGATATAAAATCGGCCTCACTGTTTTCAGCTGACACATTGGTCTGTGCAGGCTAGCTTGCCATGGGGGGATTTGAGTGAAGAAGGTTAGCCCCTCTGTAATTCGAAAGATGTCTGAATTAAATGTTGTGTGTTCTTATCTGGCTTACTAATGTTAGCCAAAGGGAAAGCTAAATACAGAGATTTTATTTAGAGTTTAAGAGAGGTGTGAACCATTCAGCTGAACCCAGGACTTCTGGAGTGCTCTGCGTAGTCACTAGAGCTAAGCTAATTCCCTCCAGATCAGTGACGTGCGGTCAGGGGAGGAAGGTGAGGCAGAGCCTCCCCTGTCAATCTTGAAAAAAAAAAAAAGTTAACCATAAAATATAATAAATGTTAATTTTTGTCAGCTGGTGTGTGTTGTAGGCCCTTTTGCCGTTCGAATCCGATGTTGAAGGATTTTTTCAATAAAGAATAGCAGAATTTTCGTATGTCCCGTTCAAATACATGGAGGAGATGCGTGATGAGGCAGCACTTTGCTGTGCCTCTCGGTGGATCGTGTAATCCTCACAAACTGTATGCGATGCAAATAGTGTGTCGCTGTCCCTCTATATATCACAAATAAAATCATTTCAAACACTCTGATTATATGCTCTGCCTTACCATAATCTGGATAATGTATAAAATGTAGTTCTGTAACGTGTTTAGGCTCCAGATTAACCATAAAACCCAGTAAAAAAGTTACTCGGTGAGGCAAACAGTACCCCAGCCTCAAGGCAGAGGGCGCTAGTGAGCCCACAGATTCTTGCGCTACCTACAATCTTCTTCGTGCTTGTTTATATTTCTTTTACAATCCGCCTTATCAAAAATGAAAGATTACATTTCCAAGCTGAGAAAATTCGCAAATCTTTTACAGTCTGGACATTTTTGTCCAGAAGGATCTTCTTTATTGAAAACATTTGTTTTAATATTGGATTTGAACGGTAAAAGGGTTTGTAATACATACCAGCTGACAAATGGATTTCATGTACAAGTAAAGGTAAGACCATCAACTTTTATTATTTCTAGTTAGAAATAAGCTCAATTGGAATAAATTTTAACCTCAAATTAAATATGGGTCACGTTTGTGTGAAGAATGTTGACATGAGATATAAAACATAACGCATTGTCTGTTAACAGACAATTTGTATTTGTAAATCTGACTGTAAAAGAGTTACGGCCTCACCAGCTGTCAACCTCACCACACGTCACTGCTCCAGATTGTATGTTTCTGCTTGACCACTGTGTATGTGGCCTGGTATTACTTGTGTTGTTGGGATATAATGTAAATTGTTTCCACAGTCACTCTGTGGGGTCTTTGTGTCTTTATGGGGATGAAAAGCAAGTCCCCAAAATGTAAATCATTACATTTTAGAGTGATGACTTGGTAAGGTTTAGGTTAGGCAAGTAGGCGTTATATGGTTAAGTCTCCAGGAAATGAATGTAAGTCAGAGTAATGCAAACACAATGTGTGTGTGAGTATTATTTTTTCTACATGTAAGATATAAAATAAATATGTGTGGATCTGCAGTTATTTAAAGGAGCAGACACAAGTAAAGTGACAAGTAATATAATACTGTATATTACTTTTGCTGATTACTTTTTCATAAGTAATGAGTAATGGTTTTTAAGTAACTTGCCCAACACTGAGTAACACACAACAGTTCCCCCCAGGTTTAGTGAAAGACTTTTAACTGGATAGCTTGCCCTTCATCTCTTTTGACATTCATGTTGAATTGCTTGTTAAGTTCTTTTTGCCCTACAGAAAGCTTATTCTCTGTGGTAGATGATCTGTTTTAGTGAATGCCAATGCAGCAATTATAATATCTACACCTTCGAGGTAGAATGCATAAAAACAAATGTGTTTACAACCAGCGATGGTTCAGGGAAAAGCTTTTTGTTCTGTTTTCTTTGACATTGTCCCATCCTGGCTGGGCACGGTAACAATATTTCTTGACAATAAATGATTACTATTCAGTCTTTTCAGTTATGGCATTGCTTACTCTTTATAAAACATGACTGACACTCATACATCAACATGTTAATGCAAAGCTGCTAAAGCATGACAATGTAAGACTGTAGATTATTGAAGGTTCTTGGTATGAAAATTAATTACATACTGACCAGACTGATCTGTTTTTCATTATTAAATTTTAGCATTTGTATGTTAAGGATAAAAAGGCCAATACAATTAACCCTATTTAATACTGTAACTGGCAGCAATTTAGGACAAAGTAACTCATGCAATTCAATGGCAAATGAAGTTAAAAGAAGCCTGACAGCAAATGATCTAAATAGAATTTATACATTAACATTAAAATGTTGGTTTCTGGTAAATACCTACAATAGTTTACCATAAATACTCAGGATGTACATATACTCTGTAGCCATTTTATGTACACCTTTACAGTCTCATGCAATTTAATACAACTTTTCTGCCGTAAAATCTACTTTTATGATGCCTATAATGCTTTTTTTAAAGCAGTGTTAATTTAATGATGTGTTTTGGGAGGTCATATTCAGCGGTGGAGTTGTATTGGGCTGCACTATATTAAGAGGTTTTTCTAATAATTAGTCTCCACTTGTGGTCACTGAGTGTATATAGACTGTGAGTTTAATCAGACAGCTACAATGAATACACATTTTGAACATGATCCAAGACAAATTGCAGTTTATTGTTATTGCAGGCCAAGAATGCAGTCGGGTGTGAATTAGGTTAGTGCTAGTTTTAAGCCCTTCGGTGAGAGGAGAATAAAATATTAAGTAGCAACTGTTTGTTTACCTGCGTATAAACAGTCATCATGGTGATAAACCCTCACTCTCGGTTCTGTGACAGGTGCCGGGGTCCCTCAGTTCAAACCCATTGCCCTCAACTCAGGCTTTCGGATCGAGGTGCTGGTCAATGGCTCTCTGCTCATCAAGCATGTGCTGGAAGAAGACAGTGGCTTCTATCTGTGTAGAGTCAGCAATGATGTTGGAGCTGATGTCAGCAAGTCCATGTATCTCAATGTCAAAAGTGAGTATCTTGGGAAAATAGCATCTTTCCAAACCTGAGCAAGTACATTTAAATTATGCCTCTCTGTGATGCAAGGTGCTGAAGAAAATGAATTCTGTATTAGGCTCTCTCTGTATTTATGTTTTTTTTTTTAAATAGTTGATGTTCTACTAAAATGACCGGTCACACTTGACTTTATTTAGCCTACTATACTTTTGCATGCCTAGGTCGGTCACGTTCAGTGCTGCTGTTAACATTCTAGTAAGACATTAACACTAAAGCACAAAGGGTAAGTGAGTTGAACTGGAGTCTGTTTTGTCTGTGACAGTTAGTTCACCGGCAAGATACCATCCTGGTACCCATTCTGTGCTTTCTGACTGAACAAATTCCACAAAGCAATCATCTCTTGGAGAAACTATAGCATTTATCTGCTGTGTGGCCCAGGACTTAGCTCCTCTCCATTAAGCCTTGAATTCTGCATGCATGCAGGAGCTGCCATGTGGAAAAGAAAGCTGAGGGATAGACAAAAAGTGGGCTGAAGGAGGAATGAGTTATCCGTGTCTGTTCCCCTCTTCCCTGTTCCTGTCTGTCTTCTCTGTTTTCTTTACACTTGTGCTTCACATACTGCATGCTTTCTTTATGTTAGACTGGACAGGTTAGAGCATCTGTTCTATAAAAGCAGAGAAGAAAAAGTCAAATTTGATCCAGTCCACACAGAACTCCAAAAATGACTGGACAGATTAACCTTTCCAAAATCATCAGAAATAGTTGTATATCAAACATGTGATGCTCCTTTAATTTGTAATGAAACTCACCTGTAGCAACCAACAGGTGCTGGCAATATAGAAATCACACGTACAACCAGTTAAAATGGAGCAAGGTCGACTCAACCTTTGTGTCATGTGGACCACACTGAGCATGGAGAAAAGAAAGAAGAGCAAAGAATTGGCTGAGGATTTGAGAACCACAACAGTGGAAAAGCCTGGACAGTCTCAAGGCTCCAAGTCCATCTCCAGAGATCTGGTTGTTCCTGTGTCCACTGTGAACAACATTGTCAAGACGTTTCCAGCCCATGGAGCTGTAGCTAATCTCCATGGATATGGACAAAAGAGAAAAACAGATGACAGACTGCAATGAAGAATTGTTCCAATGGTGGATAAAGAACCTTGATCAACTTCCAAACAGATTCAAGCTGACCTGCAGGCACAGGGTGCAACAGTGTCAGCTCACACTATCTGTCACCATCTGAATGACAAGGGACACTTTGGTAGGAGACCCAGGGGACCCACTGCTGACACAGGAACATAAAAACACCAGTTTGCCAAAACTGACCTGAGGAAGTCACAGTCCTTCTGGGAGAATGTCCTGTGGACAGATGAGACTGAAACAGAGCTTTTTGGTCGAGTACATCATTCTACTGTTTTCAGAAAATGAACTGAGGCCTTCAAAGAACACGGTCCATACAGTCAAACACTGTGGAGGTTCACTGAGGTTTTGGGGTTGCTTTGCTGCTTCAGGCCCTGGATGTCCTGACTGTGTGTGTGGCATTATGACATCTGAAGATGAATTCTGGGGCCCAGTGTCAGAAAGTTGTGTCTCTGTCAGAGGTCATGGGTCTTACAGCAGGACAATGACCCAAAGCAGACTTCACAAAGCACCAGAAATGGTTTCAGACAATGTGCTGTAGAGTTCTGAAGTGGTCAGCAATGAGTCTAGATCTAAATCTCATAGATCACCTGTGGAGAGATCTCAGAACAGCAGCTGGGAGAAGGAACCCTTCAAATCTGAGAGACCTGGAGCAGCTGGCAAAAGAAGAGTGGTCCAAAATTCAAGTAGAGAGGAGGAAGAAACTCACTGATGGTTACAGGAAGTGACTGATTTCAGTTATTTTGTCCAAAGGGTGGGCTACCGAATATTAAGTTGATGGTGTCAGTAATTCTGTCCAGTCCATGTTTGGAGTTCTGTGTGGAATGGATCAGATTTGTTGTTCCAATGCAAACAAAAGAAATAAACATGAGAATAACAAAAAAATTGCAACAAATTTTTGGAAGAAGCGGTATGTTATCTGACAGAAATGTAGGGGTGCCAGTATTTTTGGTAATGACGAAATGCAGGGGTGCCAGTATTTTTGGTAATGATTGTATGTCACAGAGAATTCTCACACATTTGAATAATTGCTTAGAGCTCAGTGTTTTTGTATTTCATTTTTTTCACAGGAATACTGCCCTCTTCAGGTTGAAAGAACACTTAATTAACTATAAGAGTCTAATACATGATTTAATCCACCATAGCTCCTCAAAGAAAGACATGCTAAAAGCAGGGATTTGATGGTCTACATGCTTCGTCTAGAGCCCAAATGGTTTGTGAATCCCACAAAAATACACAGTCATATGAGCTGAGCTTGTGCACGTGATTGTGGATTTGCATGTGTAGCGTGTTTGTGATCTCCAGCTGGCCCACTGTGGCTGGGTGCTCATTTTGATCAGTCGCTGCTAGATGAGGCTTTTTCCCATGTGGCTCTTATCAAGGCAGAGCAGAGTACTCCCTGCTGAGTGTCTCACTGTCTGCCAGCCACAGCCAAATGGGCTAGTACTCCTTCCTGACCCCTCGTGTCTGGCTGCAGCTTGCTGCACAAACCCTTGGTACAGCCCATCATGTCATTCAAATGTGGTTTACAACTAAATATCTCCAAAGCTATCCCTGTGATGTTTTTTTTTTAATACTGGTACATTCGCTGTAGGATGCTACAAATCTAAAGGAACTTCTTCTTAATCAACCCTCAGCAGAAAAACAAACTTCCTAATTATATTTCTTTCATTTATTTTTATGAGAGAACAGATTGAATTGTCCCTGCTGTACCGTAACTGGGTCCTTATTTTATTTTACAAAACTGTGACTCATAACAACATCATACAGTATATGGTCTACGGGCCTATGGTCAGTAGAATTTCAAATTTGTCATAAAATGTGCATATGGAAGGAATGCATTGGAGTGCATCACATAAACAACTTTACAGGTGATGAAACTCAGACACAGAACTTCACTGCTAATTTGACAAAAGAAATGGCAGTCTCACTCACCACTGCAAAGTAATATACAGTACAAGGAAACAAGTAGAGAAGCTATTTATGGCAAACAATGGCTTTGTACACTGCTCAGAAAAATTAGCAAAAACTAGTCTGCTGGCAACCAAAACTATAAACTAATTGTGAATATGGTAAATATGGATTTATTAGAGTTCTTGTCTAGCCTTAACTAATTTTCAAAAATATAGCTATTGATTTGATAGATATCTTGCAACTAATTTGATAGATTCATCATGTAAGTTATTTTAAAGTCAAAAAAGAAAATAGAAATAAACTCTAAACCAAACATTTTGTGGCTGCAGCTTATCCAGTGTGAGGATTTATGTTTTATATCATTATAGATCTTTGGGTTTTGGTCAGATAGAACTAATAATTAATTAATCAGGAAAAGATGGTAAATGGTCTTATTAGGTTAGCACTTTTCTAAACTTTACAGCACACTCAAAGTGCTTTCACACTACTTGGCCATTCACCATTTGCACTCAAACGCTCACACATTCACACACTGGTGTTGTTGGCTTTGGTTGTGCACATTTTTGGGATACATCATAAAGAACACAATTTTTAGAATAATTAGTTTCACTCTACTTTCAGACACTGAAGATATAGAAAGAAAACACATCAATTGTTTTGATACAGATGGATGATAACTTAAAGGACAAACTAACATAAAGTGAACACCACAGAAAGTTTAGTAGAGTCTCCAGAACAGCTTCAGTACTCCTCTTACAGAGGGAGGAAACATTCTTCCAAAACACATTCCCTCATTATTTTCAACACACTTTTTCATGTTTATTCAAGACTACAGTCGTAACCATTAGTCAGTTGATTTAATAAAGAAATTAACCAGCAACTACTCGGAAGCAACATTCGTCAACATTTTCTGATTCCACCTTCTTTAGTCTGAGGAACTGATGCCTTTCTTTGTCAGACGTGAGAATATACTGTTTACCTTTGGATTTGTTGGTTGGACAAAACAAAACATTTGAAGACATCATCCTTGTGCCTGCAAAGTCAAAATGGCCACTTTTCCCAATTTGTAGACATTCTGTGAATAAAAATAATCAAGAAAATAACTTGCAGCAGTGACTCATTTATTCAGGGTTTTCCTGTCATTTGTTATCCATCTGTATCGGTACAGACTTTGGCTAGATAAGGTTTTCACTGTCAGAAAAACTCTTCATCTCTAGGTGTAGTTGCTCAGTGGAGGCAACTATATTTGCAACTATAAACCTCTCACAGAATTTAGGATCTGGTTCTACTGTTGTCAAGACTTCTGTGTTATCCAGATCATTGATGACATGTCACCCTGGAAAAAAGGCACACTGTTAGGGTTTCTATGTAACAAATTAATGATTGTCTTTTTATGCATTCCAGGATTCCAGATGTATGTGTGTGTGTGTGTGTGGCAGTGTGCAGACAATGAGCTCATTAACCCTTAAAGCCCCTCTGTGTATTTAATGGGTTCAGTGTTGTGCCTGTGCAGTCCACTATAAAGTTTGACGCTGTAATGTTCGGTAATGTCGGACACAGTGATGTTGTTTATCCAGGCTAGCCTACACCATTTGAGCAGTGGTGGCTACTTAAGAGGCTTAGGAGCCAATTAGGGGACATACAAGCTGGCACATGCTGGAGTACTCACGTAATGAATAGCATGGTCTTCACTGTCTGAGCATGGCTTGATATTTTAGTTAACAAAATTCAATAAACTGAAGCAGACCTACTGAGATGTATAGTACAGACACATGTACTGTATGGTATGCCCCCTGGTCATATACAGGTCAGCAAACAAGTTCATGAACATACACACAAAGACAAATATTTGAACACAGGGCTGCACATGCTAATGCAAAGACATAATGTAAAGGCACTGATACACTGCAGCACAGTGCAGCCATTACAAACAAATGATGGGCCAGGCAGCTAATGTAATG